CAGGGGTTTTAGGGAAGGCCTTACCCATCCTCAGTAAAATTGTCAAAAATCAAATATTTCCACTACTTCTGATCCTGGAACCAACCAAAATGATCTCTATTTCAGCAGCATGTTTTCTATTCTATCAATTGAAATTGCCAATAAAACCATAAAAACCATCTCAGAAAACACCTTAGAGTTGCTGTTTTAAACCAAACACAAGGTCAGAGATTTGCTTTTATTATCATGCACCACTTCGGGCAGGATTTGTTTTGTACTGTGCACACTCACTTGCACAGATTCATTCTAAGCCAAAATTTACTGCTCATAGCTTATCTGAGGGAGCTGAGCCCAAGTAACGTAGATCTATGTATGAGACAGTGTAAAGGTTAAATCTTATTATTTGTTTAAATGGTTTCTGACAGAATGCCAGAAAGTAAATTGTGGAGTAATTTATTTTTATACTAACTTTTTTTAAATATCTATGTGAGTGACTTATAATGTATTTTTTTTTATTATCACACTGGCCGATTCCCACCAAGGCAGGGTGGCCCGAAAAAGAAAAACTTTCACCATCATTCACTCCATCACTGTCTTGCCAGAAGGGTGCTTTACACTACAGTTTTTAAACTGCAACATTAACACCCCTCCTTCAGAGTGCAGGCACTGTACTTCCCATCTCCAGGACTCAAGTCCGGCCTGCCGGTTTCCCTGAACCCCTTCATTAAATGTTACTTTGCTCACACTCCAACAGCATGTCAAGTATTAAAAATCATTTGTCTCCATTCACTCCTGTCAAACACGCTCACGCATGCCTGCTGGAAGTCCAAGCCCCTCGCACACAAAACCTCCTTTACCCCCTCCCTCCAACCTTTCATAGGCCGACCCCTACCCCGCCTTCCTTCCACTACAGACTGATACACTCTTGAAGTCACTCTGTTTCGCTTCATTCTCTCTACATGTCCAAACCACCTCAACAACCCTTCCTCAGCCCTCAGGATAACTGTTTTGGTAATCCCGCACCTCCTCCTAACTTCCAAACTACGAATTCTCTGCATTATATTCACACCACACATTGCCCTCAGACATGACATCTCCACTGCCTCCAGCCTTCTCCTCGCTGCAACATTCATCACCTATGCTTCACACCCACATAATAGCGCTGGTAAAACTATACTCTCATACATTCCCCTCTTTGCCTCCAAGGACAAAGTTCTTTGTCTCCACAGACTCCTAAGTGCACCACTCACCCTTTTCCCCTCATCAATTCTATGATTCACCTCATCTTTCATAGACCCATCCGCTGACACGTCCACTCCCAAATATCTGAATACATTTACCTCCTCCATACTCTCTCCCTCCAATCTGATATCCAATCTTTCATCACCTAATCTTTTTGTTATCCTCATAACCTTACTCTTTCCTGTATTCACTTTTAATTTTCTTCTTTTGCACACCCTACCAAATTCATCCACCAATCTCTGCAACTTCTCTTCAGAATCACCCAAGAGCACAGTGTCATCAGCAAAGAGCAACTGTGACAACTCCCACTTTATGTGTGATTCTTTATCTTTTAACTCCACGCCTCTTGCCAAGACCCTCGCATTTACTTCTCTTACAACCCCATCTATAAATATATTAAACAACCACAGTGACATCACACATCCTTGTCAAAGGCCTACTTTTACTGGGAAATAATTTCCCTCTTTCCTACATACTCTAACTTGAGCCTCACTATCCTCATAAAAACTCTTCACTGCTTTCAGTAACCTACCTCCTACACCATACACCTGCAACATCTGTCACATTGCCCCCCTATCCACCCTGTCATACTCCTTTTCCAAATCCATAAATGCCACAAAGACCTCTTTAGCCTTATCTAAATACTGTTCACTTATATGTTTCACTGTAAACACCTGGTCCACACACCCCCTACCTTTCCTAAAGCCTCCTTGTTCATCTGCTATCCTATTCTCCGTCTTGCTCTTAATTCTTTCAATAATAACTCTACCATACACTTTACCAGGTATACTCAACAGACTTTTTTTTTTTTTCAACAGACCGGCCGTATCCCACCAAGGCAGGGTGGCCCAAAAAGAAAAACGAAAGTTTCTCTTTTTAAATTTAGTAATTTATACAGGAGAAGGGGTTACTAGCCCCTTCCTCCTGGCATTTTAGTCGCCTCTTACAACACGCATAGCTTACGGAGGAAGAATTCTGTTCCACTTCCCCATGGAGATAAGAGGAGATAAACAAGAACAAGAACTAGTAAGAAAATAGAAGAAAACCCTGAGGGGTGTGTATATATATATATATATATTCTTTCTTTCTTTCAACACACCGGCCGTATCCCACCGAGGCGGGGTGGCCCAAAAGGAAAAACGAAAGTTTCTCCTTTTACATTTAGTAATATATACAGGAGAAGAGGTTACTAGCCCCTTGCTCCCGGCATTTTAGTTGCCTCTTACAACACGCATGGCTTACGGAGGAAGAATTCTGTTCCACTTCCCCATGGAGATAAGAGGAAATAAACAAGAATAAGAACTAGAAAGAAAATAGAAGAAAACCCAGAGGGGTGTGTATATATGTGCTTGTACATGTATGTGTAGTGTGACCTAAGTGTAAGTAGAAGTAGCAAGACGTACCTGAAATCTTGCATGTTCATGAGACAGAAAAAAGGACACCAGCAATCCTACCATCATGTAAAACAATTACAGGCTTTCGTTTTACACTCACTTGGCAGGACGGTAGTACCTCCCTGGGCGGTTGCTGTCTACCAACCTACTACCTACACTCAACAGACTTATCCCCCTATAATTTTTGCACTCTCTTTTGTCCCCTTTGCCTTTATACAAAGGAACTATGCATGCTCTCTGCCAATCCCTAGGTACCTTACCCTCTTCCATACATTTATTAAATAATTGCACCAACCTCTCCAAAACTATATCCCCACCTGCTTTTAACATTTCTATCTTTATCCCATCAATCCCGGCTGCCTTACCTGCTTTCATTTTGCCTACTGCCTCACGAACTTCCCCCACACTCACAACTGGCTCTTCCTCACTCCTACAAGATGTTATTCCTCCTTGCCCTATACACGAAATCACAGCTTCCCTATCTTCATCAACATTTAACAATTCCTCAAAATATTCCCTCCATCTTCCCAATACCTCTAACTCTCCATTTAATAACTCTCCTCTCCTATTTTTAACTGACAAATCCATTTGTTCCCTAGGCTTCCTTAACTTGTTAATCTCACTCCAAAACTTTTTCTTATTTTCAACAAAATTTGTTGGTAACATCTCACCCACTCTCTCATTTGCTCTCATTTTACATTGCTTCACCACTCTCTTAACCTCTCTCTTTTTCCCCATATACTCTTCCCTCCTTGCATCACTTCTACTTTGTAAAAACTTCTCATATGCTAACTTTTTCTCCCTTACTACTCTCTTTACATCATCATTCCACCAATCGCTCCTCTTCCCTCCCGCACCCACTTTCCTGTAACCACAAACTTCTGCTGAACACTCTAACACTACATTTTTAAACGTACCCCATACCTCTTCGACCCCATTGTCTATGCTCTCATTAGCCCATCTATCCTCCAATAGCTGTTTATATCTTACCCTAACTGCCTCCTCTTTTAGTTTATAAACCTTCACCTCTCTCTTTCCTGATGCTTCTGTTCTCCTTGTATCCCATTTACCTTTTACTCTCAGTGTAGCTACAACTAGAAAGTGATCTGATATATCTGTGGCCCCTCTATAAACATGTACATCCTGAAGTCTACTCAACAGTCTTTTATCTACCAATACATAATCCAGCAAACTACTGTCATGTCGCCCTACATCATATCTTGTATACTTATTTATCCTCTTTTTCTTAAAATATGTATTACCTATAAATAAACCCCTTTCTATACAAAGTTCAATCAGAGGGCTCCCATTATCATTTACACCTGGCACCCCAAACTTACCTACCACACCCTCTCTGAAAGCTTCTCCTACTTTAGCATTCAGGTCCCCTACCACAATTACTCTCTCACTTGGTTTAAAGGCTCCTATTCATTCACTTAACATCTCCCAAAATCTCTCTCTCTCCTCTACATCCCTCTCTTCTCCAGGTGCATACACGCTTATTATGACCCACTTTTCGCATTCAACCTTTACTTTAATCCACATAATTCTTGACTTTACACATTCATATTCTCTTTTCTCCTTCCATAACTGATCCTTCAACATTACTGCTACCCCTTTCTTTGCTCTAACTCTCTCAGATACTCCAGATTTAATCCCATTTATTTCCCCCCACCGAAACTCCCCTACCCCCTTCAGCTTTGTTTCGCTTAGGGCCAGGACATCCAACTTCTTTTCATTCATAACATCAGCAATCATCTGTTTCTTGTCATCCGCACTACATCCACGCACATTCAAGCACCCCAGTTTTATAAAGTTTTTCTTCTTCTCTTTTTTAGTAAATGTCTTCAGGAGAAGGGGTTACTAGCCCATTGCTCCCGGCATTTTAGTCGCCTCATACGACACGCATGGCTTACGGAGGAAAGATTCTTTTCCACTTCCCCATGGACAATAGAAGAAATAAAGAAGAACAAGAGCTATTTAGAAAAAGGAGAAAAACCTAGATGTATGTATATATATATACGTACGTGTATATGCATGTGCGTGTCTGTGAAGTGTGACCAAAGTGTAAGTAGGAGTAGCAATATATCCCTGTTATCTAGCGTGTTTATGAGACAGAAAAAGAAACCAGCAATCCTACCATCATGCAAAACACAGGTTTCTGTTTCACAGTCATCTGGCAGGACGGTAGTACTTCCCTGGGTGGTTGCTGTCTACCAACCTACTACCTGACTTATAATGATAGGAAAAAATAATTACTCATCCAGTGTGTGCAATAAAAACCATAGCAAAAATAAAAACAATTTTTGTTTAATAGTTAAGGGTAATAAATAATAAAACTAATCAGGTTAGCCTTTATTATTACAAATATTTATTGTTGGTCAGCAGGTGGACAACACCAGGTGGTGGTTGCACGAAGTGCTGATATTACTAATTTATTAGCTGGTAGAGGAGCAGCTACGGCAGCAGGAATGGCAGGCATGACTGGAAGCATTGGTGGTGCCACAAAACTTGCAGTAGCTGTTACAACAGGTTTGTTGTATTTTGTAATTATGAGTTAAACGGAAATGGCATGAAATGTGCCTTAATTAAAATTTACAACTGTGTCACTTGCATAGAGTGATCAAATTGTACACATTATCCCAGGATACCTTTAACAATTTACTCACTGTGTACATAATTTTCTTGGATTGGGGCTTGAATAATCAGCTTATACAGTCAAAAAAACTACTGATTCAGTAGTGTTTCAAATTATTTACCACTACTGTATTACTCCCAGGCCTTATCTTCATTTACTTTCATTAGATCTATGGTGTTTATAAAATAACTCTCCTTTCAGTTTTTGTTTCTGATATATATAACAAATCTGTATACATATATGTAGAAGTGTAAGTCATTGAAGAATTTTTACTGTTATCCTGGTCCAGCCTTCCACTGACAGCAAAATCTGCAGATGGGGTATTGTGTCATTATGAGTTTTGTTAAACATTGTTTCAGGCTGCAAATGTGGCACAGTATGTCAAGGTAAATTTAATTTGTTGTTTATTGCAGGTCCTGGGGGTTCAAAGATTTCTCTTCCATCACTAACAACGCAGCTAAATCGCTCTGTACCAGCATACTCACAAGCTGTATCATTGGCCAAAACTCAGGTATAACTTTAAATAACATTACTAATTAACTTTGCTTTGGGTGGTTTTGTAATTTATATACATTATATGCTACATTAGCTTTCTCATTGAGAATTCTATTACTGTACCCTAGAGTGCTATATTTCAAATTGTCTCAAAGATGGAAAAAATAATTTAAAATGAAATACAAGTGAAAATTCAGAATTTTAACTTGGAAAAATCTCTCTAATTCAGATTATTTTCTCTGAATAAGAGAGGTGTTTAATTTCTATTTTGTACAAATTTTCTGTGCATAGTGTATGGTGTATTGTGTAAAGTATATTGTACTCTACATATTATACAGCAAGTTCAGTGTGTTGTTCGAATATTGTGCAAAAAACGAAAAATGAAGAAATTATAAGATAATTTGTTTATATGAATTAGACATGCACAGAGGATGGGGAAAGATATCTGAAAAGTACTATAACCTCTAACTATATAATATCTAATTTTTGTGTGGAGAAAAGTCTACCACTTGACCATTACATTACTGCATGCTTTATCACTCTCTGGCCTTCTGTAACTCTTCTCTGATAGGTGTAAAACATAAACCAATTGTTACACTATAGAAAGAAATGTCATGGTGAGCAGCAGCACTCGGTGCTATGATCAGCTGATGCTCCCTCCCCTCCATTTAACATGTTTCTTTTACATTTCAAAAGCAAATAACTCAGTTGTCTCCAACAGTGAATATTTGCTTCCATGTGTAGGCATCTTCGTATATTTTCATGAAAATAGAAAATTACATTCATGTCTTAGAGAAATTTGATGAGTAGAGCAATACTTACAGATGATACCTACTGATGTCTTGATGTTTGTTTGTCTTATAAAAGGAAAAGGCCCAGTTTTATCTATACAACACTTGACTTTGGAACTCCTCTTGAATGGGCTTTAATGAAATCTAATGTTTAATATGAATACAGTGTGCGTTAAAATCACAATGTAAAATTTTGGTTGTATCTTTTTTTTATTTTTTGTTATTATCACACTGGCCGATTCCCACCAAGGCAGGGTGGCCCGAAAAAGAAAAACTTTCACCATCATTCACTCCATCACTGTCTTGGCAGAAGGGTGCTTTACACTACAGTTTTTAAACTGCATCATTAACACCCCTCCTTCAGAGTGCAGGCACTGTACTTCCCATCTCCAGGACTCGAGTCCGGCCTGCCGGTTTCCCTGAACCCCTTCATAAATGTTACTTTGCTCACACTCCAACAGCACGTCAAGTATTAAAAACCATTCGTCTCCATTCACTCCTATCAAACACGCTCACGCACGCCTGCTGGAAGTCCAAGCCCCTCACACACAAAACCTCCTTTACCCCCTCCCTCCAACCTTTCCTAGGCCGACCCCTACCCCGCCTTCCTTCCACTACAGACTGATACACTCTTGAAGTCATTCTGTTTCGCTCCATTCTCTCTACATGTCCGAACCACCTCAACAACCCTTCCTCAGCCCTCTGGACAACAGTTTTGGTAATCCCGCACCTCCTCCTAACTTCCAAACTACGAATTCTCTGCATTATATTCACACCACACATTGCCCTCAGACATGACATCTCCACTGCCTCCAGCCTTCTCCTCGCTGCAACATTCATCACCCATGCTTCACACCCATATAAGAGCGTTGGTAAAACTATACTCTCATACATTCCCCTCTTTGCCTCCAAGGACAAAATTCTTTGTCTCCACAGACTCCTAAGTACACCACTCACCCTTTTCCCCTCATCAATTCTATGATTCACCTCATCCTTCATAGACCCATCCGCTGACACGTCCACTCCCAAATATCTGAATACATTCACCTCCTCCATACTCTCTCCCTCCAATCTGATATCCAATCTTTCATCACCTAATATTTTTGTTATCCTCATAACCTTACTCTTTCCTGTATCTGTTACCAAAATACCTTATGCAGTAAAAATACATTTTTCCTAATTCTGTATATGATACTGTTTCTCAAGTTTTTTGAAATACATATGAAAGTTTCTTCAAAATCTATTAGAATGGGCACTTTACTCTAAATTGGTGATTGTTTAATAAATATATCTTAATGGTAAATTTAAAATTTCCTGATAATATTAGAAAATCTGTAAAAAAAAAAAAACATGAAAAGCTGTGAAATATCAAGGTTTTTCATTTCTAATAAAACTATAAGATTTTGCCGGTATTCTCCACCATAAGTTAAGGGTTGTACAAATCTGATAATACACATTTTTTTTGTAACATGATCCATTCATTCTTTTTTTTTTTTTTTTTTTTTTTTGAGAAAATCCTGGTTTTAATAAGTTGACAAGAAAACTGCAGGTAAGTAATGCTAAAGGAATAGGTCTGCTATTTAATGGAATACTGTATAGTATTTATAAATAACACAATGCAGTTTTTTTTATTGGAAGTACTGTCTATAATGAAGTACAGTATAGCATTGTTCTCAATAATTGAAGCAGAGGATGACATCAGATAATGACACTGTCGTTAATGCTTCATTACTTCATTTTATAACTTAGTAGTTGTTGATACCTGACTTGAACTAATGAAGTAACTGTTATGGGAATGTACAAGATTTTTATAATTATTTTAAGGTAAAATTATACATGAATATGAGAAATTTCAAGACATGCACTACATTACCATATATTGATGCTTCTAGTGTGAATTATGTATATTCAAAAGTGAACCCCTAGTAGAATTTACACACAAAAATCATCAGAGGTATTGTATATGCAGTACTGTGTAAATTACTGTTCTGTACTTGTATAAATACCAAAATTGCCAACCAGAGTAACACATTTCAAAAACCCCAATTGGCTGTAGATCTCTTCGCCATCACTGACTGCACTCCTGAAGGGCACAGTGCCAGCGAGCACACAAGCTGTCTCCATACCCAGGCCACAGGTGTGTGTTTACTTCACTTGTCCATTCTTGTCTAAATGTAATTTTGAGAAGCCTTTCTATATTATTATTCTGTAACTATTTGAGGGTGCTGTGAATTATACATATTATATGATGGACTCTGATTGTTACGATGTACTAGTATGCGATGGACAGCCTAAAGGTTAAAGTAATGTCTGGGTGTATAATCGTATCACATACGTCAGTCTGGTTGTAACTGAAAAATTAACGGTAAATGAAGGAGGCATTCGCGTTTGTGTTTATTTTCCTTCTATAGTTTTGCCATGGATAGCCAAATCTAAAACTTGAGGAAAATCTGTCTAGATATTTGTACTTTTATGTAGGCTAGAATAAAGTCATACTGAAGTTCATTTTTTACTAAAACTTAATTCATAATATGCATATTTAAATCTTCAATCAATTTATTAAATCCTATATATCTGTAAATTTTTATGCATTAAGAAATTTATAAGTGAAAAGACTCCCATTTCATGAATTATTACCCAGATATATTCAGGAATGTCTTGATGTACTCTACAGTATTTTTAAATATATTTCAGGTTGTAAGTCTTGTTGGTGGTGTGAATGATTCATCTGCTCATGTAAAATCTTCATCCAGTAATGACTCGTCATCTTCATCCCTTAATGTGTCTGGTCTGCAACAGCTCTTAGCAGGTGAATGATTCTATATTATACAATTTTCTTGAGTATAACTTTAGTTCAGTAAACAGTTGCAGTTTTTTATAATAAATATGTGTTTCTCTAACACTGACCGTCTCCTACTGAAGTAGGGTGACCTGAAAAAGAAACATTTACACTATCACTGTTTTGTCAGTGGTGTGTAGATATGACAGTTCAGATGTCCCTCCTAGCAGAAAATACCCCCATCCCGCCTTTAGTACCTACCACCTCCAGAACTCAAGTCCAGATCCCTTCACAAAATGTTACCTTGCTCACACTCCAACAGCTCATCAGGTTCCAAAAAACATTTGACGAATGAGTGTACAATCATACCATGGTCGTTAGTTGGATGTAACTCAGAAATGATACTGTACTTGTGGGAGATTATAAAGAAAAATTGCAAAGGTTAGTGGATGAGTTTGGGAGTGTGTGTAAAGGTAGAAAGTTGAAAATGAACATAGAAAAGAGTAAGGTGATGAGGGTATCAAATGATTTAGATAAAGAAAAATTGGATATCAAATTGGGGGAGGAGGACTATGGAAGAAGTGAATGTTTTCAGATACTTGGGAGTTGTTGTGTAGGCGGATGGATTTATGAAGGATGAGGTTAATCATAGAATTGATCAGGGAAAAAAGGTGAGTGGTGCCTTGAAGTATATGTGGAGACAAAAAACATTATCTATGGAGGCAAAGAAGGGAATGTATGAAAGTATAGTAGTACCAACACACTTATATGGGTGTGAAGCTTGGGTTGTGACTGCAGCAGCAAGGAGGCAGTTGGAGGCAGTGGTGATGTCCTGTCTAAGGGCAGTGTGTGCTGTAAATATTATGCAGAAAATTCGGAGTGTGGAAATTAGGAAAAGGTGTGGAGTTAATAAAAGTATTAGTCAGAGGGCTGAAGAGGGGTTGTTGAGGTGGTTTGGTCATTTAGAGAGAATGGATCAAAGTAGAATGACATGGAGAGTGTTTAAATCTGTAGGGGAAGGAAGGTGGGGTAGGGGTCATCCTCTAAAAGGTTGGGAGGAAGGGGTAAGGGAGGTTTTGTGGGCGAGGGGCTTGGACTTCCAGCAGGCGTGCGTGAGCGTGTTCGATAGGAGTGAATGGAGATGAATGGTATTTGGGGCCTGACAAACTGTTGGAGTGTGAGCAGGGTAATATTTAGTGAAGGGATTCAGGAAAACTGGTTATTTTTATAGACAGACTTGAGTCCTGGAAATGGGAAGTACAATGCCTGCACTCTAAAGGAGGGGTTCGCGATATTGGCAGTTTGGAGGGATATGTTGTGTATCTTTATACGTACAGTATATGCTTCTAAGCTGTTGTGTTCTGAGCACCTCTTCAAAAACAGTGATTATGTGTGAGTGAGGTGAAAGTGTTGAATGATGATGAAAGTATTTTCTTTTTGGGTCACCCTGCCTCGGTGGGAGACGGCCGACTTGTTAAAACCAAAAAAAAATTATGTAAAATAAAATTCTGGTTATTAAAGCTACCCTTCTGATAATATAGGCACACCATCGGCAGACAATCCAGCCCCACAGAGGGGTGGCCCTTCCTTGCTAGATCGTCTTTCCGCCCAGTCTTCAAGTGCTGCTGCTGCCGCTGCTGCTGCCAATAAGGTTAGTTTATAATACTCTACATAAAAATATCAGGAAACTTTCTTATATCAGTTGTTCGTATTTTTTTAACCATATTGTCTGTTTCAAATTCAAATTCAAATTCAGTTCAAATTCAAATATTTCCTTGTAAAGATTACAATGTGTGGTTTACATGTTATAAAATTTTAATTACAAAGAAGGCCACTATCATGATTAGGCACTTCGGGCAGACTAATACTAATTCTTACGCTCTGTTGATATAGGCTATAATTGAGCAGTACATTTGTACATATTATTAGATACGTAATTAGATTTTTTTTAACGTGTTGGCTATTTCCCATCAAGGCAGGGTGATCCAAAAAGAAAAACTTTCATCATTATTCAACACTTTCACCATCACTCATACATAATCACTGTCTTTGCAGAAGCACTCAGAGACATTTTAGATATACCTCCAAACTGCCAATATCCTAAACCCCTCCTTGAAAGTACAGTGGGCCCTTGGTTATCGGCCGTAATCCATTCCATAAGGTCGGCCTAAAACCGAAATAATATTTCCCATAAGAATTAATGTAATCCAATTAATCCGTTTCAGACACCCAAAAATAAAAACAAAAATTACATTTTTTAAAGATTAACTATAGTTTTACATACACAAAACAATGAGAACTCAATAAAATGACTAATAAAATGGATAAATGAACATTTAAATCACTTCTACCTTTATTGAAGAGTCTTGTTGGTGTATGCAAAACGGTGAGGAGCATATCAACTCTACAGCTTATTTATCTATCACAATTCATTTAACCCTTTGACTGTTTCGGTTGTATATATACGTCTTACGAGCCACCGTGTTTGTTGTATATATACTCATAAATTCTAGCGGCTTCAAATCAAGCAGGAGAAAGCTGGTAGGCCCACATGTGAGGGAATGGGTCTGTGTGGTCAGTGTGCACCATATAAAAAAAATCCTGCAGCACACAGTGCATAATGAGAAAAAAAAAAACTCCAACCGTTTTTTTTTTTTTTAATTAAAATGCCGACTTTGTGGTTTATTTTCATATAGTATTTATGGGTATATTCTCATTTTCTTGGTCTCATTTGATAGAATGGAAAATATATTATAGAAATAGAGGTGATTTTGATTGGTTTTACTATGAAAAGAACCTGGAAATGGAGCTCCAAGTAGGAGAAATGTTTGATTTTTGCCGATGTTCAAAAGTAAACAGATGATGTCATTTTCCAATAAATGTCCAAGTAGCCATTCTAATATGCAGTCATGAATGGGTTGACATTAGTTATACAATTATTACAATATTGCTGTAGTCTGCATAGCAGTAAATCTTCTATTTTTTGTTTGAATAAAAATTTGATATAGAAAGCAAGAGTAATATCAGAGGGACCTGGAGACGTGACTGATGAACAAAGAAAATGTTATTTTAGAGCCAGGAATGTCTGCATTGTTCATTCTGGACCCTATTTTGAAATTGTCATATTTTTTAATTTTCATGAAATTGGCCAAGTTGCAAATTTCTGACCACGTTATTGGGTAGTTGAAATTGCTAAATGGGCAGTTTCTTGTACTCAATCGATAAAAAAAATGGAGTTCTGAAGAAATAGCTATGAGTTTGGTCGACTGGAACAATGGAATTAGCCGAAAATAGGACTCAAAGTCGGCGAAATAGCAGATTCATATATATCGCCGAGGTCGCTAACTTCGCGAGAGCGTAATTCCATCAGTTTTCCATCAAATTTCATTCTTTTGGTCTCATTACAATTGCGGAAAGATTCTCTGTCATTTCATAAGAAAAAAATAAATTTTTTTTTCGGAAATTTTGCGACACCAGGAGACACCTCAGGATTTGGGGTTGCAACAGTCAAGGAGTTAATATGACATAATAAACAATATTAATAACATAGAAACATGATATATACTCTAGAATGAATAACATATGTCATTATGTATGTGGAGTGGTGGTGGTGGTATTGGATTTATAAGGGCCACTGAGAGCATTAGCCGTACATATTAGTGGTAGTGGAGGCAGCAGCAGAGGCCACCACCACCACTATTCACACAAACAATGTTCATAATTTATAAATAAGAAATATTTACACTAATTTATAAATGAGAAATATTATACTGTACTTTATAAATAAGAAATATTTACACTTACCTTGGAGGAGATGCTGGCATTGGTTTAGGGTGGTAGAAGATACGCAGGGTGGCGTGTGTAGTCAGTGGCCGTATATGCCTCCAAAAACATTGGAGGAGTCAGTTTTGTGTCGTCCTTTTCTATTGCTTAATCAATAACACTGTTAATGCACACTTTATTGCTGTCTGGCTCTATATCCTTTATCTACGCCTGCCTCTTTAGTATTGTACATATCATAGAATCACTGAAGAAGGCACATTCTCTCCTCTCTCTTCCTCCTTCACTCTCATACTTTTCAACAACTTCTTTCTTAAATTCCATCATGTTTCTCACTTTCTGTACCAAAAGAACTTTACTAGGAACCTTCTTTGGGCCCATGGTTGCTTATTTTGCAGTTGCACTCAATCAGTAACCACAAAAAACAATGGATTATAGCAAAATATTTGGATGAATGAGCAGAAGTTTCCTCACTCACCCAGAGACACAGTCAGAATGACTCAGGAATGCGTGAGCGGCTGGCGGGTGGGCAGGTGGACGTGTCCAGTATGACCCATAAGCGAAATAATGGTCGATAAAATTTCGGCCAAAAAACCAGGTTATAACCAAGTTGGCCGATATCCGGAATGGTCAATAACCGAGTGTCCACTGTACAGACATTGTACTTCCTGTTTCCAGGACTCAAGTCTGGCCAACTGGTTTCCCTGAATCCCTTCACAAAATATTACCCTGCTCACACTCCAACAGCTCATCAGGTCACAAAAACCATTTGTCTCCATTCATTCCTATCTAACACGCTCACACACGCTTTCTGGAAGTCCAAGCCCCTTTACCCCCTCCCTCCAACGTTTTCGGAGATGACCCATACCCTGCCTTCTCCCATCGAGGCAGGGTGACCCCCCCCCCCCCAAAAAAAAAAAATCACACTCATTCACACTATCACTGTCTTTGCAAAGGTGCACAGATATTACAGATTTATATACCCTCCAAATCATTCTGTTTTGCTTCATCCTCTCTATTCATAACTCCTATAAATTATTGAGGACTACAATACAGTAATTTAGGAAATAAGAGGATATTACTCTTTGCTTTATGATTGTAAGTTGTAAAAAATATATAATAATTGGGCAGTCTATGCAGTACGTATCTTGATAGGAAATGAATATTATTATTTTTTTTATCCCATTAGCTGTTTCCCACTAAGGCAGGATGACCCAAAAAGAAGAAACGAAAGTTTTCCTTCTTTTTACATTCAGTAATTCATCCAAAAGGAGTTACTAGCCCCTTTCTTCTGGAATTTTAGCTGTCTCTAATGACATGCATGGAGTATTATTATTAGTAATTTTTTTTATGGCACACCAGCTGTCTTCCACTGTTGTAGGGTAACTCAATAAAGGAAACTTTTCTATTATTTTTGGGAGGCATGGGTTAGTACCCACTCTAGTTACATTGCAGTCAACTGCCTTAAGTTAAAAATTGCCTTTGCACTTTAAAATTATTCTACAAAATTTCCAGTTGATCATTACTTGAAGATGTTGAGCATATTAATAGATGTTCTTAGGTACTGTAGTAATAAATGCTTGTTATATAAAACAATGAATCACTCATTTATGAAGTGCTGTATCATAGTAATACAGTAATTACACACATCTGTTTCATGCATATGCATATCTATTTCATGTATCTTTTAATAATGTAGCAAGATGGTGTTGTGAAGGTTGGTGGTGGTATGGGTGTGTCGTCCAGCCAAGGTGTTGGAAGTTCAGCAGCAGCAGCAGTGTTGCGCAGTGATAGTGGAACTGGAGGACCTCCTCCCAATGTTAATATTGCCAGTCTAAATCTACCTGGTAAGCGGAACTAACAGTTGGAAAAATCATCATCTTTCCTCTCATTATTCCTTCTCCCTCCTTTCCTTTTGTCTTCTTCCCTTTTTCCCTGCTTTCCCTGAACTTCCTATTCCTCCTCTTTGTACCTCCCCCTCCTACCTTCCTTTCCTACACCTGCCTTGTTACCTTTTCTTAAATACATTTTTATACTGCGTGTTACCTCTTTTCTCAAGTTACACCTCTGCCTTCTGTTTTTTTTTTGTTTTTTCTTTCTCCCTAGTCACCTTCCTACTTACTTTCCCCCCCTCCTCCTCATTGTTAGCCTCACTCTCTCCTCATCCTCTTCACACTCTTCCTCCTTCCTCCTCTCCTACCCTTCCCTCCACCCTACCTCCCCTCACTCCTCTCCCTCCTCCTCCCTCTTCCCTCCTCCTCCTTCTTCTCCTTCCTCCTCCCTCTTCCCTTCTCCTTTTGTCTTCCCTCTCCTCCTTGTTCTGCTCACTCTTTTCTTTGTCCTACTCTCTCTCTTCTCATCACTTCTCCTCATCACACTCTCACCTCATCACTCCCTCACCTCATCACTTCTTCACCTCGTCACTCCCTGGCCTTATCATCACTTCCTTGCCTCATCATTCTTCTCCTTTTCCATACTCTCTCTCTTTGCCTCATTCCACCTCATCATTTTCCTTATTCTCTTTACGTTTTTTCCTCCTTCCTCTTCCTCTCTTCTAATTGTGTGGTGAGGAATTTGTATGCAGATTCCTCATTAAAAAAAAAATTACCGTACAAAATTATATAAATACACATGTACTACCTATCTTCATTACACTTTTACAGTTTAATTTTTTTTCATTGTCATTATTATTATTATTATTATTATTATTATTATTATTATTATTATTATTATTATTATTATTATTATTATTATAGGTCTTAATGTAGCGGGTCTGCAGAGTCTGACAACAAACCTTAGTGGCCTTCAGAATGTTCAGGTGACCATCCCTGGTTTAGCAGTGCCTATATCACTGTCACTGAATGTTCCTGTCAGCAGCTCTACTGGTGTCATCCTCTCTTCTCCACCACCTGCAAGTGTAAGCCTTCTTTGGAAACTCATGTACTGTTATGTATACAAGCATATACTCTATGTAGCTGCTTATGTGGTTGCATTGAGTACGTACTTACAAATTGTTTCTTTATATATTACAGTATTTAGAGATTTATATTAAGGTATTTAGGTACAGAATTTATATTGAAATATTTTCACTATGCAGTATTTGTCTGAATATCATCAGGTTGAAATTAAAAGAGATTGATATTAACCCTTAAACAGTCCAAATAGATCGACGTTCAAATCCGTAGTGCTCCAAAAGTAGATCTGCTTTTTTTTAAATATTTTCAAATATAAAAAAAAAAATGTAGATAAAAAATTTTTTTACACATTTTCAAATGTAAAAAAAAAAAAAAAGATGATGTACATTTTTTTATATACTACTTTCAAATGTTGGAAAAATGTATATATACGTTTGGACCATTTAAGGGTTAATTAAAAGATGAAAAGCCCTATAAGGAGCTTATTGAAAGAGTAAATGGTAATCATCATGCTTGTTTGAAAACTTTAGGTAGCAACAAAGGTGTCAGGCACAACAGCAGCTACTTCAGCAGCTACGGTGATGATAGCCAGTCAACCAACTTTGCAACAGGGGCAGGTTGTTCAGCTACCATTAAGTGAGTTGTATATTGAATTTTGCCTTTTAATAATACATAGATTCTATAGTAAAAAAAAAAAAACCTTTAGCAAGTAAAGTCTGTAGTAATCAAAAAAAAAATTCTGGCAACCAGTGCTTTTTTATCTTGGTTATATATTATAACAGTCACCCTGCCTCGGTGGGAGACGGCCGACTTGTTGAAAAAAAAAAATACGTAGTTATTTTTTACTTTATGCTTAGATGTATTCCAAGTCCTTAGCAGTTGCATTAAGCTCAGTCAGGCCACTAACACTTAATTATCACAACAATGATAATAGATGGGGTTGTAAGAAAAGTGAATGCTTGACAGAGTAGAGAACAGAGCAAGACGTCTCATCTCTCGCCTGGACCCATCCTGGATAGATCTGTCATTTCAGCAGAGTCTTCAACACAGGAGGGATGTGGGTGGCCTTACTGTTATGCACAAGGCCAATATTGTCAAAGTACCACACTTGGATCCACTTCGAAGACAGTGTGAAACAAGCTTTTATGCCACAAGACGGGCAGAAAGCAGCAACTTCACTCTGGCTATACCCTTCTCCAGAACATCACTCCATCTGAGATCATATATACCCAGGATGACTCGAGTATGGAACACATTCGTACAGCATAATGATGTCAACGAGATAACGTCAGTTGATCAAATGAAAATGCTGGCCCACAGATGGCTCCAACTTCATCCTGTTCTCTACTTGTATGTCTCATAACAATAAAAATGCTTTCAAATGAGCTGATGTAGGTAACAGCTCTTAGCTTGCCAATAAAGTTAGGAATCCTTAACCTGTAAATAGCTTGTCAATAAAACTAGGGATCTTTAACCTTGACAAACCCTGTGTAAAAAAAAAAAAAAAAAAAGAGTTGTGGGGTTAAAAGATAAAGAATCTAACACAAAGTGGGAGTTGTCACAGTTGCTCTTTGCTGATGACACTGCTTTTGGGAGATTCTGAAGAGAAGTTCCAGAGGTTGGTAGATGAGTTTGGTAGGGTATGTAAAAGAAGAAAATTAAAAGTGAATATAGGAAAGAGTAAGTTGGTGAGGATAACAAAAAAAATTAGGTAACTAAAGATTGGATATCAGATTGGAGGGAGAGAGTATAGAGGAAGTGAATGTATTCAAATACATATTTAAGAGTGGATGGGTCTTTGAAAGATCAGGTAAATCGTAGAATTGACGAGGGGAAAAAGGTGAGTGAGGAGTCTGTGAAGACAAAGAACTTTGTCCATGGAAGCAAAGAAGGGAATGTATTAGAGTATAGTTATACCAACGCTCTTATATGGGTGCAGCAAGAAGAAGGCTGGAGGCAGTGGAGATGTCATGTCTGAGGTCAGTGTGTAGTGTGAATATAATGCAGAGAATTTGTAGTTTGGAAATTAGGTGAAGGTGCGGGATTACCAAAACCATTATCCAGAGGGCTGAGGAGGGGTTGTTGAGGTGGTTCGGACATGTAGAGAGGCTGGAACAAAATAGAATGACTTCTAGAGTGTATAAATCTGCAGTGGAGGGAAGGCGCGGTACAGGTCGGCCTAGGAAAGGTTGGAGGGAAGGGGTAAAGGAGGTTTTGTGTGCAAGGGGCTTGGACTTCCAGCAAGCATGTGTGAGCATGTTAGATAGGAGTGAATGGAGACATGGCTTTTAGGACTTGACGTGCTGTTGGAGTGTGAGCAGGGTAATATTTATGAAGGGATTCAGGGAAACCGGAGGGCTGGACTTGAGTCCTGGGGATGAGAAGTACAGTGCCTGCACTCTGAAGGAGGAGTGCAGTTTTATAATTGCAGTGTAAGCACACTTCTGGCAAGACAGTGATGGAGTGAATGATTGTGAAGGTTTTTCTTTTTCAGGCCAACCTACCTTGGAGGGAAACAGCCGATGTGTTAAAATAATAATAATAATAATAATAATTTGGGAGTTTGGTATTCTTGAGCATCTGTTTTTCAAGAAATTCACAAGTGCTCACACACCGAGCCATAAATGCAACAACAACAATGAAGAAGAAATATTAACCATTAAACTGTCCAAACATAGATCTACGTTCACATGTGTAGTGCTCCAAAAGTAGACCTATGTTTTTTTTACATATTTTCAAATATAACAAAAAAAACATAGATCAAAGTTTTTTTACACGCTTTCAAATTAAAAAAAAATCTATGTTTTTACATACTTTCAAATGTTGAAAAAAAATGTAGATCTATGTTTAGACACCTCTTCAAGGGGGGCTCCTTGTTGTGGTGAAGAGGCTCTTGGTCTGAGGAATCAGACCTGTTGGTCTCCTTCCTCAGACCGAACCTAATTACCCCCCAATCCCCCCCTCCCTATCCCATCCTCCCCTTTTTCCTTTCCTCCTCCTCCTCCCCACCCCTCCCTTTTGCCCTTCCTCTTTTTGGCCTTTGAGATTTCTCCCACAGGCGCGCTAGTTCCTAGGTAGGGGAAAGGATACCGGGGTCCATCCCATTCCGTTGAGGTTCTTGGCGGTGGCGTAGTTTGCCGTGGAATCTGGATTGCCTGGGGATGTCCCGATCCCTCTCCGGTATCCCGGAGTAGCTTTAGGTGTCTTTCGGGCTATGGGTGTATCTCTGGAAGCTACCTTTCGGATTCCGGGGGTGGTGGTCGAAGGAGGTATGCTTTGTGGCGGATATCCGGCCACCCTCTCTTTTGTCCACCGAGGTAGCTCGGCAGATGTGAGGTTGCTATCCCGGATTGCTGGTTTACTGGCATGAAGGGTAGGGTATGGCACAGGTTCCATGCTGCATCTGCGCTACTAGCGGTGCTGAGGTCCTCTTGGGCGCGGAGGGAGATTTCCGGCCCCTTCATTCCTCCTGGGAACTATTCCTCCCTGCTCCCCCCTTTTTTTATTCTTTTTTTTATTTTTCTTTTCTTCTTTCTTTTTTTTTCTTAAAAACAAAAAGCAAAGGAGTAACCTAACCATGGAGAACCCAATCCATGAACCCACTACCCCCGGGCCCCTTCTTGATACCGCACCCCATTCTGACCCTGCCTTGTTTTTGGACCACTCTTCGGACACTCCTGATGCCCCTGTACCTCTTGCTGGTGCTGTTTCCTCACCCGCTTCAGGTACCAGGGCTTCGACTGACTCCTTCGATTTGTCTGACCTCCGCTCTCCTTTGACTATGCTTCTGGCCTCTCCCTCTACGGTGCGGCAATTTTCGAATCACCAGCCCATTTCACGCCGGACCAACTCCGCTCCTACTCCTAAACGCCAACGTCAATCTCCTGATGATGCTCCTTCGTTACCTTCCCATTCTACTCGGAAAAGACCGACACGTCATGCACTCCCTCTCCACGCTCAGTTTCGGACCACACAATGGACTAAATTCTTTACTTTAAGACCGACTTCTTCTTCTGCCTATCTTTCTGACCATAGTATTGGCAAAACGCTCCTGCGTCATGTTGGTAGAGATATTTCATTTCATGCTTCAAGAGCGGTACGCGCATCGTCACTGTCCAGAATGCTACCCAAGCTCATGATCTTTCTCTCCTTTTGAATATCGATACTACTCCTATCACTATTGAAAAACATCTTTCTCTCAATTTTTGTAGTGGTACTGTCATTCTGCCCCATACCATAGTCCAACAGAATTTCCAGTAAAATGGTATAAAATACCGACAGGTTGTTAGGTAAGACACATATGCAACAGTTAGGTATCTTTATTTCGAAACGTTTCGCCTACACAGTAGGCTTCTTCAGTCGAGTACAGAAAAGTTGATAGAAGCAGAAGAGACTTGAAGACGATGTAATCAGTCCATCACCCTTAAAGTTTTGAGGTGGTCAGTCCCTCAGTCTGGAGAAGAGCATTGTTCCATAGTCTGAAACAATGTGGAGTTGAAGTGACAGGATGGAGCCTTATATAGCGCCAGGAGGTGAGACGTAGGTCACTAGTAGAAGTAAGAACGCAGATGTTGGGAGGTCAGGTCCCTCTCAAATCCAAAAAACTTTAAGGGTGATGGACTGATTACATCGTCTTCAAGTCTCTTCTGCTTCTATCAACTTTTCTGTACTCGACTGAAGAAGCCTACTGTGTAGGCGAAACATTTCGAAATAAAGATACCCAACTGTTGCATATGTGTCTTACCTAACAGAATTTCCAGTCATGAGGCAATGACATTTTTGAACAGCTGGAAGTCCAGGATCTCCCAATCCTCAAAGTAGACACTTATGTCCTTCCTGCCCGTGGGCGGAGACGTTACCCTTGCAATGTGGCTCGTTTGACTTTTGACAGCCGGGAACTCCCGTCCTCTGTATATGTCACGGGACATCGGTTACAAGTTCGAAAGGTGATACCTACACCGCAAAAGTGTGGAAATTGCTGGCGTTTTGGTCACCCAGCGAAATATTGCAGATCTATAGCCGAATGCCCAGTCTGTGGTGCCAACGACCATTCTAATACATCTTGCAGTCAACCTCCATCTTGCCTTAATTGTAATGAAGCTCACCCTTCGTACTCCCGCCGTTGCCAAGTCTACTTAAATGAACGTGAAATCCGTTGCCTCAAAGAGGCAGAAGGTCTTCCTTATGCTATGGCAGTTACTCATCTCCGCCTCCAAGGGAGACTACCCCGTGTTTCTTATTCTGGTGTTTCAAAACATCCCCCCACTTCTGGGGTCCCATCTTCTGCAGCCTCCTCCGTTGTTACCCCTCCCATGGCCACTCTGGCATCTAATCCTTTTGCTGTCCTTGGCTCTGACGTCCCGACTACAACTCAGTCTGTTCTCACATCTTCGCGTCCTTCCTCACAACCCCCAGTATCGACAAGACCTAGTACGACACCTAATACCAATCGCCCCTCTACTTCTCAGAAGTCCAAAAAATCCACATTGCTCAAATCTTCTCTGCCCCTTCCTTCCCTTCTTCCACCTCCACACTTTACCTTTCCAGTCTCTGTGCCTAGTTCTTCCCCTCTCTCTGGCTCTATTACAAGTGTGGAGATTCACCCTCCTCATCATATTATGCCTTTCACCCCCTTC